ACTGTTCCCACTACGATCACCAATTCCACCCGACCTCCAATATGCCTCATGTGTTGTGGAAAACCACCTTGTTGTAATACATGTGGACTCGATATTAAGCTCTCCTAAATAAAATACTAATGGAATAATTTTTTTGTTGATACTTTCATAATACTAATAAAAATTATCAACACATCTCGAAGTCTTCTAATTTGTTTTATCAGTTATTAGCTGTAGAAGAATCTCTCCTTTACAAATATGGCTGGATTAACGAGGAGAGTTGCCCAACTGTTAGTAGATTTCAGTTAGGCTAAGAAAGTCTTAAAAGGAATCGCGTCCATCGTGTATTAATAAAGAGTTGCGCTCGATTTACGCAATGTTCGGTCTATTTCGTGGATGTTCACTGAAAAGGCAAATTAAAAGATTTTGATTAATCGGATTTACATGAATACTCAATTCCTCAAGAAAGAAGCATTCATTTCGACTGAAATTTTCAGGGTATTCTAATGATTATCAGATCTATGCATGGGTGAAATTTCAGATCGAAATCTTATAATTTGACTTTTCAGTGGACACCCACGAAATAGACTGAAAATTACATTAGTCGAACATAACTTTTTTAATATACCACGGGCACGATTCCTTTTAGAGTTTTCTTAGCCTCACTAAAATCTTCTTATAGACAAAAGATAGAGTTAAAAGCTCGAAAACAGTTGGAGAATTTGAGAGTGAGAGTGTGGATGTCTTTTATTCACCCACGTCCTTATCTACTCTAGACCGTTGAGACCTACGAAATCATATTTTCTGATGTCAAATACAAGTTGTTCACTTATCAAACCTGCAAATTTATAAATCTTACGAGCCATGAAAAATTTATTTATTATTACCACTGCAAACACATATATCGCCAACAGAAGAAATAATATGATGCTCAGCAGCAATATGATCACGAACAAAAATGAAATCATGACTAGTTTTAATGCTAAAACTTCCAAAAAAATTAACGGTATGAACTACACGATGACCATCAAAAATAGGATCATCATAAGTACTATCAGGACCATAACTAACAGTAGTACATGTCGCCCCATCGATACGTTCATAAAGTTTTCACATACGATTACAACGTCAGCGCTTCCAATCGTCGTTACTCCAACTCTGATAATTACGTATCCAGTTCCAAGTTGCCGCATCGCCAGTAAAACGCCAATCACAGCATTTATTGCATATTAGACAACTACAACCGTTACAAGATAGTTTCTTTGAAGCAGTCGCTGCCGTAGATTGTTGAACTTCTAAATAAAAATTATGCAAACCTACAATAAACTGAAGAGAAATTTCATAATTTGGCTGTTCAAAGATAGGCAATGTGAAATTGTTGTATTATTAGTGTCCAAAAATATTGACAGTGATACTTTAATATGATATAGTAAGCTTGAGGAAACTTCCGTTTTATATGAAGTAATAGTTTACAACAATAATGCTCTATCTTTATATCATATTTGATTATTCTTCAACTAATATTATGATAATAAAAATTCAAGAAAACATGTGTGATTATAATATGTGACAGGTTTTTAGCTCATACTGTTTTCAACATGTATCTGCATCTTGATCTTTTCTTTATTCTTTATTTCCGACTTTTTTAATAATAAGTCGTCTATACACGTAGTTGTGTAATTATGCTTAAATAATCAGGACAATTACTGCGAACATTTACATATTTCTGTTATACTTTCGCTACCACAATTGAACTGCTCTGTTAGATTGGCAATGAAGTTTTTGCGCTTTTTTCAAAAATTTTCTTTTTGATTTTCAACTTCAACAGTACAACCAACTTTCAATTATATGTGCATCACTATTCTCTATGAATTGTCGCCAACGCTCTGGCAAACATAGGATCCCGCGTTCATAGAAATAATGGGACTTTTGTCCGAAGAAGTTGACGAGGTCCATTCTGACGTCGTTCTCATCGTCAAACTTTTTCTTACAGAAATGGTTAGAAAGAGAACGAAACAAATGGTAATTCGTTAGAACCAAGTCAGGAGAATAAGGCACATGTGGAATGGTAATTCATCCGAGCTTCAATAATTTTGGGTGTGGGTGTGAATGAAGAGAAGACCCAAACACCGACACCCTCACTCATACCCACCGCCACCCACACCCAAACTCTATACGATCGTTAATGCATCATTAGCAGAAAATATTTTTCATGCTATTCAACAATCATGAAAGAATCTTGGGTGTGGGGGGGGGGGGGGGGGGGGGGGGGGGGTGGCTGCGGCTGTGGCTGCGGCTGTGGCTGTGACTGTGGGTGTGACTGTGGGTGTGACTGTGGGTGTAGGTGTGGCTGTGGCTGTTGAGATACCCGAAATCGAAACACTCACACCTACATTCACACCCACACCCACACCCACACCCACACCCACACCCACACCCACCCACACCCCACCCACATCCACACCCACACCCATAAATATTTATTTTTTCTAGACCAAAACAAACTAACTGCGATATATATATAACAATAATTGGAAGTAATATAGGAAGATTATATTTATCTTCATTAATAAAGTAATATTCGCATGTTTTATTAACTAGAATGATAGAATGCAAGAAAAGTAGATTTATCGATAAATATACTTTTCTGACTGTTCCACCAACATCGTGTGTATAGAAGCTGATCACGTGTTCAGTCGACAAAGATATTTTGAAACAAAGAGACACTTGCTTTCGTATCTTTCAGAATACCATATAAAATAAACGTCATAATCATACTCAACGTAGTGGCTATTGCTATGCGCACACCACTATTCATTCTTCAGAATCGTTCGAATAGACAATCGAAAAGGAAATTTGTACTATCTCGTTAATGTATAATAATGAAAGTAATGGAAAGTGTGCTGTCTCTTGAGTTTTTTTCTTCTTTATTTGAACGGCGCCGGCTGTTTTTTTCAACGAGCATAAAATATATATGAAGAGAACAAGGCCAAATGGTCAGACAATACAAAAAAAGATGTAAATACAACAGAAAAAAAGAGAGCATAGTTAACTACAAATTGGAATATAACGTCAAATAATAGAATGAATTAGAATTTTTTTACCACCAAATTAAGAGAGTCTCCATGAGAAAACCGAGGATCTTAGTGACTTGAAAAATTAAAAAGTTTTCATGACTCTCATGAATTTTATGCCAAAAATATGAAAAAAATGACATTTTTGGTGATGAAGCGGACATACAAATCAATGTTTTTTCAAATTTATTGATCAAAAACTACTTTAAAATAAATTCACTGCATTTTTTTAATTAAAATATCGCTTTTAACCAATGGATTTGAAAAAACATCAATTGTTATGTCCATTTCATCATCACAAATGCCATTTTTTTTCATGTTTTTGATATAAAATTCACGAAAGACATGAAATTTTTTTTATTTTTTAAGTCACTGGGATGACCCCAATATATGAGACACTCGGTAAAAGAAAAAAACTTTGATTTTTTTGCGCATTCCAACCATCAATGTCTGAAACTATCAATCTAAAAATTTTAGTTTCTAATACCCTTCCTTTGAAAAGTTAGCCAATATCGACTTTTAACACTCATATCTTTATGAGAAAAAAAGCAGCAACATGAATTTATCTTATAGAAGTTATGGCTCCTTGTCTTTCTGCAGTTCATTCAAATCTTTTATGGAATATGTCAATTGATAGACCACCAGTAACTGAAAAAAAAACGAAGTATTTAAAACATTGTATATCATCTTTTTATTAAAGTTATATAAAGGGTGTCCCAAAAGTCCTGATCATTTAAGAAATGCGTATAACTTTCCTATTAATAAAGCTTTATCTAGTATTTTTTTTTATTTGGTAAACAAGAGTAGTAAGTTTACTTCATAAAGACAAGATTTATCAGTATTGTTCAAAAGTATTGCTTTTGACATCAATACAAAAATTTAGACTTTTTACAGTTTCTGAAAAAAAACTCATGTGTAGTTTCTTTGTTTTTTATTTCGATTTCTTTCGATATTCTAGTCCTTAAATCATCTAAATCGTGTACTAGTGTTCCGTAGGCATTTGTTTTAAGATATTCCCATAGAAAGCAGTTCAATGGTGTTAAACCTGATGATCAGTATAAAACGACCGGATCCGAGTTTCGTAATCGGATCTGAAACGAGAATGTCGTCAGAGACCAGCAATAGTATCTGGAAATCGCTTCCAGATCTAGTATTCGATGGAAACAAAGCTGGAACCGAAAGCAGCTGAGAAACCCTGCTTTCAAAATTCGCTGGAAATCCACCAAAGCCGACCATTGTCCTCGAATGTCTTTGACCTCGACAGTGAAAATAAAGAAACGTAAACAAAATCGACGGACAAAAGGATAAGGTTTGTTGAAGATAGAAATGAACAGAAACGAAAATGTTTGCCCCTTTGATCAGTTAAATGAAATAGAGAACACGTACAATAAGACAATAGACGATAAATTCGTAGATATCGAGATCGAACGATGATCGAAGGATATCCAGTCACGTTTCAATTGTGTATAAAACGATTTATATTAATTACTTCATGAATTATTCGATAGATTGATGAATGTCTATGCAAAACGACTATAATTTGCTCATGGAAAATAAAAGCTTCAAAATTTTTCGTTCACTATTCTTTTTGCGATAAAGCCAACAGAAACTATACTACGTAGAAGCCGATACTCTTTTTTTTTATCGAATATCCAAAATTCTGAGAAATTGATATATATAAATATATACAACAACAATGATTTCTAGTGATTTCAAACGTTTTTCTTGATTTCTGCAATCGAAATCAGTTTGTTCCTCCTTGGCTGTTTTAGCTTATTGTTGAACACATTTTGATATACTATTTTTCTTGTTCTAACGTGTACAAGTCTAAAAAGAAAAATTGTTTGAGATCTTTATGTTTTATTTTTTTTTAGCAGATAAAAAGTTATTTTGATTTATGATTCTCTGTGAACTATCATATAGTATCGGAAATTGATTAGATAACATAAATCGATTAAATACTAGTGAAGATATAAATGGTTGTGAATAAAAACATGGTCGAGGTAAAACAATAAAACGTGGCTCTAAATAAAGAATAATTTTATAGAATAAGAAAAATGAAGGCATATTCACCTGTCTTGAACATTTTGATCAGACTTGTAGTTCTAGAATTGCTACTTTGTTCAATTAGCCTAATATTATTCTCGAAGTAGTGGTTATAAGCAAAAAAATCTAATTACTATCATACCTTTCTTCTTGTTTACATGGAAGTGGTAAGGAGGAAGAGCTACTATTTATTTCTGCTTCACTCGATATTCGACCTAAAATTAATGAAAAAGAAAAATGTTTAAATTTCAAAAGTTTTTTATTTTGTTAAACTTACTATTGTTATTGATATGTTGTAGCATTGGTTTATGCATTGTTTGCTCTTGAGATAAACGTTGATTGTTTGCATATTTAGTAATTCTATATGACAATAAAAATAAACAAAACGAACTATAAATGAATAATAATAATAAAATAAAAATATACTGTTTTCGTAGACTTTCACATTCTTTTCTTGATCCATCAAGTTCTCTTGTTAATCGTTTAACTTCCATCCATTTTTCATGTATTTCATGTTGTGATTTACTAGATTCTTCATTAAATTTTGTTTGTTCACTAGCAAGAACTTTTTATACATCTTCTAATTGTTTTCTAAAATTAAAAGATCATTATTTATTGTTTTTGTTTTTTTCGAAATTTTCTTAAAGAAATAATTATACATTACTGTTTAAATTCTAATTGTTGTTGTAAAATTCTAACACGTTCAGTATCTCTTCTTGCTTTACGTAATTCAGCATCAGTTTGTGCTAACTGACGAATATATAAATGAGCATCACATTCTCGTAATTCTAAAACAACTTTTAATTTTGTTTCAAGTTCTTTACAATGATCTTTTTCTTGATTAAGTAATAAATCAAGTTCTTTAATACGACGAGTTTTTTCATCAAGTTCAGCAAGTAAATGACGCATATGTTGATTAGCTTTTTCAATATCATTATCAATATTTGATAAAAATTTTTGTTGATTATTATCATTTGTATTTTCTTCTACTGTTGAAAGTAAATTATTTATTTCTAAAAAGAAAATTGTATTTTTATTAAGTTAGAAAAAAAAAAGAACAATTAAGATGTATCTCTAGAAGTTAATAAATTGAAAGCGTATGCTATGAATGATCGTAGTCAATTGTACAAAAAAACAAAAGAGAAAAAAAACACAACATAAGATGAATTAAATTCTCAAGGTTAAATGTATAAATTAATTTTACTTCGTTTCCTCCACTTGTTCTTCTTGCTTTATCTGTTTTTTTCTTCAATAATACGTTGATAAACGTTCAGTTTCAATATCATATTCATTAATAGATAATGGTGTTGATGGTGCATCAGGGGCGGCGGAACGTTACAAAATCAGGTGAGGCTCAATGAATATCTTTTCTTATTGTAAGCAAAATTTTTATGTATCATTTTGACATATGATTGAGCGAAGTTAGGTGATAAATAACTGTGAACTATTCACTTGTGTTGTTATCACAAAAGAAACCCTCTTTTTCTCGGTTTTTCTTAACGATGTTTACCTTGTGCTTCAGCTTCTTCATCACGACTTGGTGGAACATTTGATCGTCTTTTTTCACTTGTTGAATCATCAAGTGTATTTGTTGTTGGTGGAAGAGATGTTGTTACACTAACAATCGTTGCTGGTGTTGATGGTTCATTAGTACCAGTAGCTGATCGACAACGAACATATGGGCTTGTATTATTTGTTGTTGATGATGAACTATCACCCACTGTTCGTTCACTTGTGCCCCATCTAAATAATGTTTGTATATTAATAAAAAGACAAATAAAAAGATTTTTTGAAATGGCCAAATAAAAATAAAAACATGCATTGATACAAATTGTTTCATTTTATCCTGAAAATTGAATTACTTATCTACGGATTATTATTATTTTTTTTTTCTGTGCAAAATAAAAATGTATTAGGTTGTGCGTATTAATTGTGATAGATTTAGTTAGATAGTATGTTGATTGGTTACAGGTTTTGATAGAAGAGAAAAAAAAACCAAATGAGAGAATACCTTCTAGGTGCCACCTCTGGCTGTGTCTCACTGGAACTACAATTATAAAATAAGATCATCTCACATAACTAACTCATTCATTCATTAAATAAAAACTATTTTATTTATTAACATACAATTTTAATTTAAAACAAAAAAAAATTCTTTTCAATTACCTTCGACTTATTTTATTCTCCAATGATCGAGTAGGAGACGAAACAACATTTGTTGATGCAGTTGAATTCGATGGATTCTCCTAAACGAATAAATAAATAAATCATTCTTTTCATTTTATTTTTTTTTAGTTTAGAGATTTTCATCAACATGCATAAATATTTTTTCATGCAAAACATATAAATATTCTACAAATAAATATATTGTATATCTTACACGACTGGATAAATCATTAATATTTTTATTATTTGTTATTAATGACTGAAGTGGATTTGTAAATATTCTTCGTGAATTTGATGATCAATATATATTTGTTGATAAAAATGTTGGTCGAACTGTTGTTGATGTTGATGGTGTTGGTATTAAATTAGATACTAATTTATCATAAGCTTGTTTTGTTCGTTGATCATATGAAGATATATTCGATTTATTTAAATCATTACTACTTGAATTATTTGTTGATCCACTTGTTTGCCATTACAATAATCCGTTCGAAGAAACAATCAATCATAGGGAGGATTACTTTGTTAGTCACACCGATGATCTCATGAATAATCCAATGAAATTAAGTATTCTCCATGATGAAAACAGATTGTTGTCGAATGTATATATGATACTTTGCGTTCAAATTTTTTTTACTTCTATTTAGTAGATATATGGATATAATCCGCTAAAGAATATTTGACAAGGATTCAATCGTTTGCTGTGAACGAATCTTTAATACTTTCACTTTAAGAAAAAAGTAACTAGATTGGCTTTATTTGACACGACGTAAACAACAATCAAGAGCAACAGTTTACAAGAATATCTGACGAAAAAGTGAAAAATAATGATGAAAGAAACAAGAGAAGGATATGAAAAGGCAAAGAAACTGGGCTACTGCACAAATATTCACAATAAATCTGTATCTGTGGCGATCTTTTTTATTTCATAGTATTCATCGAATCCATAGTCATTAAAATTTTTGTTACCATCACCGTGAATGTATCGTCCGAATGGTAACAGATTAATAGCCATATCGTATTTATTAATCCAAACATTACGTGCTTGTAAACATGAAACAAGATAATTTGCTTGCATCTTGTCTTTTGTTATCACGCCAACAGTCAAACCACATTTTGTATTGTTTACTCGTGTAATTACTTCATCGTAATTATGATATTTCAATATACTCATTATCGGTCCTATCACCTAAAAGAAACAACTTTCTATTATCTATTTCAAAATATAATATGCTCCACTGTTTTTTGAATAACTCGAGAACGCAAACAACTAGAGATCTGCGGTCTTCACAAATCGAAAGGAGAAGACGAGGGCACGTCTTTTTCTCCAATATTGTATAAGACGAAATCATTTTAAAATCAGTCATTTTTGCAAGACATCGAAAAAAATGTACAAAGACAATCTGTCATTCAGATGAAATTTTGACAATAAGAAAATTTGCTTAAAAATCAAAAGAATTCCATGATTTTCATGCGAGTAAATAGACAACTTTGTTTGCTCAACATTAGGATAGAGGAAGAAAATCATTCCAATTAGATCTTGAATTATAGATCTGAAGTTCTTCTCTATAGATCACATGCCAAAATCAAAATTTCATCGGAATGATAGATCGTTTTCATGCACTTTTTGTCATGTTTTGCAGAAATGACTGGTTTTAAAATGACTTTCGTCTTATACAATATTGGAGAAAAAGACGTGCCCCCATCTCCTCTTTCGATTGATGAAAACCACAGATCTCTAGCTGCTTGCGTTCTCAAGTTATTGAAAAAACACTGGAGCATATTATATTTTGAGATGGGCAATAGCTAAAATGTTTATTTAACAATGCTGAACAAACCTTATCACTTGTTATATCCATATCATCAATGACATTACTAAATATCGTCGGTGGAATAAAAAAGCCGTTTGTCCCAAAACGTTCTCCACCACACTCCAATTTCGCCCCTTGTTTTATTCCGGATTTGATATATTTTATGGTTTTTTGAAATTTTTCATCGTTAATTTGAGGTCCTTGTTTAGTTTTTGAATCGAAAGGATCACCGACGACTCGTTGAGTAGCTAATTCAACAGATTTAATAACAAATCGATCATAGATTTTTTCATGAACAAATATTCTTGATCCAGCAAAACAACTTCGAGCAGAATTTGCAAATATTGTACGATGGGTTAATTCTACAGCAGAGTCAACTAAAAAGAATAATAGAATACAGAAGATCAAAAAATTGATTAGACTGATCTTGATATTTACGATCAGCATCTTCACAAATAATTAATGGACATTTTTCAAGTAATTCTAATGATAAACTTTTCAAATTTGATTTTGCAGCTAATTCTTGAACTTGTTTACCAACCTGTAATTAAAAAGAATTATAAACAGATAAGAATAAAGTATAAATAGACAACTATATGCCTCAAATGAGCCAGTAAAAAAAACTTTATCAATTCCTTTATGAGTAACAATGAATTGTCCGCATTTAGAACCATCACCTGGTAATATATTAACAACACCAGGAGGAAAACCAGCCTAGAACAAGGAAGATCAGAACATTTTGAAAAAAAAAATGTTTTTGACATTATCATACTTCTTTCAATAAACTTGCACAATACAAAGCTGTTAATGGCGTCTCTTCAGCTGGTTTTAAAATGACTGTGTTACCTAAATTGAAGAAAGTCACAAACAATCCTTAATACAATGATGTTCAAAACTTGCCACAAGCTAAAGCTGGACCAAGTTTAAATGCCAACATCATTATTGGATAATTCCATGATATAATTTGTCCAAGAACACCTATTGGTGAATTATAAGAGTGCAAAAATGAATCTGTTGGCGTTGTTGATGTTTTATTCATTATTTTATCAACCAAACCAGCATAATAATCAATACAATCAGCTGAAATTGTAATATCCATTTTATTCTCTTCCAATGGTTTACCATTATTAAGAGTTTCAAGTTTCTAAATGAGAAAGAAAAGATAGACAAAAACAAAAGTTTTTAAAGCTATTACAAACGAACCGATAAATAATCAATATCACGTCGTAGATATTCGGCAAATTTTTTCATTAGATCAGCACTAAAACAAACCCATAAACACTTTATTTAGGAAAGAAGAGTTTTCTTGACCTCTTACCGTACAACTGCGTTCATTTTTCTCCACTCAGAATCATTACGAAATACATTGCGAGCAGCTTTAACAACTTTATCAACATCGACCTACAAGAAAAAATGTTTTTTAGACTTTCTCTCAAAGTTAGATCGGATAACTTTTTACTTTTGTTGATTCCTCAACTTGACAAATTTCTTCACCAGTTCTTGGATCACATACTGGAAATGTCATGTGTAACTTTGCATTATGCCATTCATTATTAATAAAGATCTAAAAAAAGAATACGAATTCGGAATGATTAATCGCTTCAGTTTTCAATGAAGTATCTTACTTTTGTAAATTTTATTGGAACAATTGTTGACCATTCTTGTGAGCTGTAAAGAAAAATCAGAACTTAGTGATTTAATTGAGCTGATAAGACCAAAGAAAATAAATTGCTTACCTGTTTTGTTGATAAATATAACCTATTTTGCTTGCCAATTCACT